TAATTTCTTTAAAAAGAAGAATACAATATTAAGAAATCTTTAAGACACAACAACAAAAAGAAGAAAAAAAAACTTTTGATCAGTTTTTTGCTGTTTCAAAAATTGGAAACTTGAACAAATAGAAAACTGTTACTTATGTATGAGAGTAAAGTTACAAAAATTAAAAATCACTACTTCAATGATTTTATAATTGTTTCAAAAATAAGAATAAAATACTGAAAAATCTTTAAGACACAATAATAAAAAGAAGAAGAAACTAAACTCTTGATCAGTTTTTTGCCATTTCAAAGATGGTAAACCTGAAACGAATTGCGAGTTGTTGTTTATGAATGAGTAAAGTTTAAAAAAAATGTTTATTCTTCGGGGATATTGATGAGCATTGCCCGTCCCCCGACGGTTGTTTCGGTGTTTGGCTGCCATTTTCGCGTCCAGCCATTGATGATTTACGTATCGAATAAAACAAGCAAGAAATTGTATACGAGCAGTGCTCTCGAACGGACATAAATTCACTGAACGTTTCCGTGGTAGAGATCGCCGTTTGAGGAATAAAGTTTTATAAAAGTGAGATGCAAATTCAAATATACGATCTCCATCGGAATTTTATACGAGATAGATATATGGACTTGGCAAAAAATATACATCTGTTTACCATTTGGCCGAAATATCGACGTCTGTATTTGAGCGAAAAATTTATCGTTGAGGCATTGTTTATTTTCCTCTTGCATGATCGATAGTTGCAGCATTAGCCTGCGAGACATTCTCAGCATTTCCGCCAATTAAATTGTGCGGAAGTGTCGGTTTAAGTCCTCGTCTGTTGTAAGCATATTCGGAGAGTTGAACCAAAAATGGGATTAGAAGTAATTAGAAGTAAATGCTTCTTCTCGAGACAAATCTAAACAAGCAGATTCCTTGTAACATTCGAATCTCGAGGGCTTCTCAAATATAATGTCGCAAAGGAGCTTCTATCTCGAACGACTCCATTTTACTCCAAGCAACTCCTCGGCTGGAGTATATTAATATTGCGCGATGCACACTCGAGCGGATGATTTGTTTCTATTCCCCCCATAACGTCTTCCTAAACCTTACCAACAGACATGTGGTTGCAATTTTTCACTAATCGACAACAAGTTTACATCCAGCAACGATTAATTAACCAAACGATTAAAAACAAACTTCAAACGTTTAACCACTCAGGAAAAACTTGAATTTTTGCTTTTCTTGTACATATTTTAGTTACAATAACGGTGCACGTTTGCAACGGTTTTTATTAAAGTTGGGAGAATCAAACAGAAACAAAGTAAATTTCGCCGTTCCAGGCCTGATTCTATATCATAATTTAGCTTTAGACGAGGTTATTTTACATAGTTGGAAAAGATTTATTTTTCTTTTCGCATTATTCAGCTCCCGTTGGAAGTTTGCTCGTTTTAATTATCGCCCAGAGGTACGAATATAAAATAAAATATTGGTCACTAAGCAAGAGGCTGAATTTTCCAATTTTATAGGCGACGACTTTTCATATTTTTAATGGGTGGTGCATAATCAAAAAATTAGTATAACTTGCGGGACTTGAGAACAATTACACGAAAAAACGATTTATTTTTTTATTTTTGCTGAATTTAGTGTATTTATTTAGTAATTTTGTATAGTACAAAGAAAAAGTAAATAAATAACAGTAAAACAATACAAAAGTGGTTAATGTATGTATACAATAAAATAGTGTAAAGAAAATAGTTCATGTACAAAGTTAGAAAATGCTTCAAGTTGTTGAGTTTTAAAAAATAATAAACTAATTAATTTAAAAAAAATGAAATAATTAAAAAATGACTTTTATTTGAAAATTTGCATGAATTTTTTACTTTTAATTAAAGCATTTAATTTCAGATGAGTAAAATTAGGGTATGCAAAGGCTGAATGGTTTAAAAAATTAGGCAGTATTGTTTCTTGATTTTTTTACAATTTTTTAATAATATCAAAGAATTTTTTTTTATTATTTCAATTTTTTTTATGCAAAATTAAAAAAAAATTGTCTTAATTTGAGGAAGATTACACAATGTTCAGAAACATTTAATTCTTTTAATTCTTGTAAAACTTTGATCAATCGGTCCGAGAAAACAGTTTGTTAGATTGATTAAAAAATTTGCAAAGCTATTGAGGATACATTAATAAGTTGTAAAAAAATCTAGACACATTAGTTTCGTCATCAATGTTTGTGAATACGTGATAGATTCATTAAAACAACAAAATAAGTTGCTGTTGTTTTTTCCTTTTCTTTAAATCCCTGTTGAGAGTAGAATTTTTTTCAAGAGATTATAAAAACATCTTATAGGAAATTTATTTAAGTTTCTGAAACTATTCTTACATTTTTTATGCGGTCATGGGTTGCTAAAACTTTTTTTTTATTATTTTATTATTATTTCTTTGTATTGCGTAATAACCGTAATTCAGAATTTTTTTTGCTAAAAAATCTCAAGACTAACAACTTGAAGTTTC